TAGAAGTCCGGCAATGGTAGCACACGCCTTTATTCCTAGTATTCCGGAGGCAGAGATCCATCCGGATCTCTGTGGGTTCAAGGCCACACTGGGGAACAGAGCCAGGCGTGGTGACACACACCTTTAATCCCAGCACTAACCACAGAGGTCTGGAGGTCTGTACAGACAGACAGGAAGTGATGTAGCTAGGCGGAGAGAGGAAGTGAGATGCAGAACAGAAAGGCATGTAGGCATGGGTACACAGGAAGTAGCTCTCGCTGGAGGCTGAAGAGCTGGTGGGTGAGGTTGGTTCTTTCTTGTCCTATTCCTCCGATCTCTCAGTTTTAACCACGACATCTGGCTCCATTTTTTTTTAAATTTTTTTATTTATAAGACCGTTTATCAATTCGTCTTACACCTGTTTGCTTCTCACCTTTTCCATTTGACACAAGAAGAGTTTCCCAGGTGGCCATGCAGCCTTTCTCTTCTTCCTACAGTCGTCCCCCATTTTTCTTGAGTACATGCCCACTTGCTTACGGCTTGCCTCTCTAGAGACAAACTATTCAGAGTGCTAATAGACCTATCTGGAGAGCAGACCTTATTGTCTTCCTCCTCCTTCTTCACGGATGAGAAACACCCATGATTTCCTACTCAATGCCCTGTTGAGAGTAAAGACTCTCCCTGTGTGCTCACAATGTACTTTTTGGGATTATTAGAAATAGATAGTGCCAGTAACAAAATCTGTCACACATTGTGATTGTCTGTGGACCTTGCCCAGGGTTGCACAGGGCTCTGTTTTGGGGGAGGGCTTGAGGTAAACCAGAAATCATGATTTTTTTTTACCCATGTGTATTAAACATCAGACATCTCTTCTGCTGACCACTAGACCCTTTAAAGTGGTTATTTCTCCACTGTCGAATCTTGTGCACTGAGATAATTGGCATCCTGTGGTGTTTTGGGAACTCGGTGCATGAATCTGTACAGAAACTAAAACAAGAACAGTCACTAGGTTAGTTCAAATGAACTATACTGAGAAAGACATAGCTGATGTCATCGACTTCATTCTACTTACAGGAGGTCTTTTTACATCCGAAGCTGCAAAGGTCGAAGAGGGTCATTTCCAACCATCACCCCTTCACAGAGGAAATCAATGGACTGTGAAGACAAGGGAAGAGATCTAATCCCCTTGTGCTCCTCTTGGTTTTCTTCTCACACAGAAGTCCCTTCCCACCCTTCTCAACCTGTTCAGCCTGCTCCTGTAGCCTTAGGCAATCTTGCTGCTGTAATGGCTGCCAACTTGGCTGGTGGGAAGCCAGGCCTGGAGGGAGTAAAGGGTCCTGGCAACTGCATGGTCTGAGGGCCCCACAGGTCAGCTCCTAGCTACTTCCACAGGCAACCTCATTGCTTTCTGTCTTCAGCTGTTTTAACAAGAAGGTGGGAGACTGGATGGCTTGGAAAACACGTAAGTATGCTCACAGTTCCAGTGTCTGGGAAGGCCAAGATCAAGGTGCCTTTTGGCTACTCTAGGATGAGCATTCTCTGATTTCCTCATATGGAGGGGGTGGAACCTCTTTCCTGTCCCTTCTTATAAGGGCACTGGTTCATGAGGAATCCATTCCCAGGGCTCAATTACTCCTCAAAGTTCCATCTCCAAATAGCATTATACTGGAGCTTAGGGGTTCAATGTGAACTTTGAGGTGTCATACATATTCAGTCCATAGCAGCCTTCTTGAAAATGTGTATGGCATCCTGAGAACCTGGGTTGGCAAAATATGATGCGTATTGTTATGTGGATAACCTCTCTGAGCATAGAAATGGGGCAGGAATAGTAGGAGCCACAGAGCCCTTTAAAACCAGGGTTAACACAGCTTTTGCAGAAAAAAAAAATTCTGTTTGCTCATATCAAAGAGAGGCCTTGACTTCCAGCTTTATGAGTAACAGACCCTCAAATACACAGACTCCACCAAGCGCTTGCATTTCCAGGAGCAGAGATTTGGTTCAAGGGAAGCTTTGGACCAGAGGTCTATGCAGGGTCCTGGCACAGGAGTCTGCTTCCAGGTGGGAGGGTCTCTAGGATGGCTTGCACTGCATCCTAAGACACTGTCTGCATCTTTGCCCTTCCTGGTCCCAGCATGATGCACTGTAGGAGTGATGTCTTTTAAGCCCTGCCCCAGCTAGGCTAGGACTTGGCTTATAACCAGTGGGAGGTCATGAACCTCTTCCTTGGATAAAAGGAAGCATTTATCCTAACCTCTATCTTCTTAGGCTTCCGAGATCTAAACTGAGGGTAGTGTATTTCATCTTCCATCCAGATGATGGGGGCTAGAAAATGGATCAATGATGTAGCTGATATTCTCCTCAAAGAAATAGGAGAAGCCTGGAAGGGTCCAGACGCTGTGGTCAAGAAAAAGGGAGTCCAAGGTGTTGGCGCTTCCAAATGTGAGGTTTAGGTCAATAAAGTGACAGCAAGTGAAGCCTGAAGAAATAGGGCTGTAGAAAATCAACATGATGGGATGGGGCCAAACTGACTGCACACCCCAAGCCTGGCACCTAAATGATTGGTGGACGCAATCAGTTTGGTGAGCTTTCCATTGCTCTGTTAGATGGCAATGAGTACATACACACCACTCTTCTAGAACTGTTTGCTTTATAAAGCAGACAGACAGCAGCATGCTTTTTCTCCAGGTCTTGCTTCTCAGTTCTGCGAGAGTAGGAATAACACTATGGTGCTGGCTATGGGTTCAGGCTTTCAGGAACTGTGTCCAGGTTTCAGTGGCTCATAAACAGCAACTATGGGACTATACCAGCAGGGGACGCAGGGTGATAATAGCCTTTTAGAAAGCCACCTGGAAAAAAAAAAACAAAAAAAAAAAAAACAAAAAAAAAACGTGGTATAGGATTGCACTCACATTGGGGTAGAATTCACTGGAACGAATCCAGAGCAGCCAAGACAATGAAATGAGAGATTTTTGCCCACAACAGTGAATTCGCTGTGAGCCCAGGTTTGGCTGAGACCAGCTAAGTCATGTGTGAGAAAGGATGTAGGCACTGCAGGCATGCACTGCACTGGTGTGTGGAGCACTAACTGGGTTTCGGGCTTGGGGTGGGGTGGGGTAGTGGTTTGGTCACTCAGCTCACTCACAAGCGACAGGCATGCTGTTATTGTCTCAGTTCCTCTGCCTCAGTTTTTGTAGCTCCTCTTAAATGAGCTCCATACCAGTTTAACAGTCCTTTATCAATATTAAATTAATGGCAATCACTATTTGCTTACAAGCACCAGCGGGGACATGGTTTTCAACACACATGTACATGTGTTTTATCCTTCTGAGAAGAGAGTTAAGTTAGGTTGCTTTACCAAATTTAATCACTTCCCCCCCAGCAGCTGGGGCTTGTCTCCTAAAAGGTGAGCACCACCCAAACCCTTGGACACCAGAAAAAGTCATCTTGCCATGCTCCAAACCGAGGCAGACTAAAGCCTGAGCAGAAGTCTCAGCCTTTCTAAGTCACCCTTAGATAAGGATTTGGTCTTCAACTTGGCTCTTGCTAGATACAAGAGGGACAGAGATTGCTGTCTCAGGCAGACAGAATAGAAAGAGGCCAAACTTCAGTTCTACAAAACTCCCAGAGTCCTCCTCTTTCTCCCACTCTGGAGCAGAGGGGGTAATCAGACATCTGAGGGGTAGGTTACTCAGCCGTTTCTTCCATAGACTCCTCAGGATGGGGGAGGGCAGCAATAGAATTTGCTTTGAAAAAAATTTGTGAGTTTAGTCACAGGCAGTGGGTTGTGTGACACACAAGGAGTTTACTGATGTCATCCAGAGACAACAAAAGTGGTTTGAACCATGCAGATCAAGGGTTTACTCTTCAGAAGGCATAGCACAATGTCTCAGCGTGCTAAATTCATTCACCCCAGAAGAGGTGACTCTTTTCAAGTGGACCTTTTGGAAGGAACCTGAGATTGTTCTCATGGTGGTTTGGAGGACAGCTGACCAATGGACTCTTCTGTGAGGGCCTCTCTTCCCAATTCAAGTAAGCCAGAGAAGTGCAGCATGGACCTAGAACAAGAGAACTCGGCACAGAGAGTGTGCTGTGGAGCACCCAGGGGCTCTGTGCCTCCTGTTACAATCCTTTGTGTTGGATCTCCCCTTTCTTCCCTTTGGTGGCTCCCCATGTTGTTCAGGTGAATGAAGGTCTGTTGTAAAGCTGTACTCTGTCCACGGACAATTTGCAGTTCTGAAAACAAATCTACATCTGTCTTACAGTTTTTCATTTTTAAGACAGAAAATCTTAAGCAGACAGTAGTGAATAAAGTCATAACTTAACATCAAGCATGACTTATGTGAATTGACCTTATTGGCCAGTATCATTGACTTTTCATTTAAAAGACCAATGAGTAATATATCACAGTGTAGTTTAAAGTTTCAAATATGTTTTCAGACAGAAATATTCCAAGAATGCAAGTCAGGTATATTTCTCAGATAAATAACAGTCGTGGCGTTACATACAGGGAAAGTCTCCCTTCTCGGGTTTCCCAGTTGAGATTCAGAGTTGTCATTAATCATTCACTGGGGTCGGTCCTCCAGTCAATGGAAGTTGAAGAGAGCACTGTTGGCTAATTCCTCTGGGTAAGGGGATCATGGGGCCAGACAGGACAACAGGGCAGTCAGTCACATGTCCTGGTGTTCAGACCCACTTCATCCTTGCCTTGAGTTCGAGTGTGTGTGTGTGTTTCCTCGTGGGCTTTCACCTGTTCCAACTCAGACACAGGTGGGCTTTCCAGAAGGATTAACTGGGTATATCGTTCACCTGCAGAGTTCCTTACAGGGCAGCAGCTGAATTCTGGCATAACGATTCAGGGTGGCTTTCTAACGGAGAAATAAGCGCACACCTTAGCTCTTTAATAAATCAATAACATTAGGAAACCAGCCTTCTCTCCCACCTGGGCCACCACAAAGCCTTCCCGAGTTGTGTGGCCGTTCAGTTCTTGGTTCCCTTCGGAAAGTGGTTCCCAGGCTCCAGGTGGTAGGGGCCAGCAACTTGGACATCAGGTGCTGGGTAGAGTGAGTTGCCTGGGACACACGTGGCCACTGAGGACGGGAACCCATGCCCACGTTTCCGTCCTTGCCCCTTGCGCGCGGAGAGGCGCGCTCGGAGCCGAATCCCGCGCGGCTGGCTCGGGCAGGGGGTGGGGTGACCCTGTGGCTCCTGAGAACCGCTGGGGTGCGTGGCCGGTGCCTGGGCGCAGCCAACGTCCTGGGGGCAGCTTCTGAGGGCCAGGTACCTCCTCCCACTCCGGGATCGCTTCTCCCTCCTCCTTCACACCCCCGCCCCCGGGACCGCGGCGCTCCCTCCCCGCACCGGCCAGTGAGTACACAAAGCGGCGGGTGAGGGGAAGCTTCGCAGGCGTGCACGGAGCAGTGAGATCACTGGCGTTATAAATATCCCGGTGCCAGCGCCGAGATCCGCTCGGGTGGCCTCTCTCTCTCTCTCTCTCCCTCTCTCTCTCTCTCCCCCTCTCCCTCTCCCTTCCCCGAGGCTATGTCCACCCAGTGCGGCGAGGGAGGCAGCGCCAGAGGCACACAGCAGCGCGGGGGCTACGGAGCCCGGAGCCAGCCCTGCAAGATGCACTTAGGACCCCCGCGGCCGGAAGAATGAGCTTGTCCTTGCTCTTCCTCCTCTTCAGCAGCCACCTGATCCTCAGCGCTTGGGCTCACGGGGAGAAGCGTCTCACTCCCGAAGGGCAACCCGCGGCTCCGAGGAACCCGGGAGACTCCAGCGGCAGCCGGGGCAGAAGTAGCACGACGTCTTCCTCGTCTTCTGCCTCCTCCCCAGTCGCGGCTTCCCCGGGCAGCCCGGGAAGCGGCTCGGAGCACAGCAGTTTCCAGTGGAGCCCTTCGGGGCGCCGGACCGGCAGCCTGTACTGCAGAGTGGGCATCGGCTTCCATCTGCAGATCTACCCGGATGGCAAAGTCAATGGCTCCCACGAAGCCAGCGTGTTAAGTAAGTTGCTCACTCTCCAGCAAAACCTGTTCTGGGAGGGACAGCCGGTGTTCCTTTGGGCCACAGTGGCACCTCTAGGAGCCCCAGCTTCTGGGACTCGGCTGATTCTGGAAACAGTTGGGCAGGTGTCGTGGAGATGCGTCTACAGGGTCCGTGCACACGCACCCATCTCTGTTGGGCAGCGGGCATGGCGTTTCCCCAGGTGGAGGTTACCCTGATGAGACAGGCAGCTGGTTTCCAGAATGCCCTGGCCAAAAAGACCAGCCTCTCACCATAGCTGAAGGAAAAAAATAAAATAAAATAACGCAGGAAGTAAAAAAATCTTTCTCTTGGTACAATTTCTTTTTACTTATGAACTAGAACTGCATTTTTCTTTAAGTGTCAAAGTACATCTCTTTTTTTCCTGTATACAATTCAGGTTAGTTTCTGAAAATATCAGACCTGAGTATTTCTACTCTCCAATCACACATATCATATACATATATCCCATGTTATAGGTTTATATTAATATGTGTAACTTTACACGCATAGGCATATTTCACACACGTATACATATATATGTATACACACATACACCAGCTACACATGTCTACGTAGAATTTATATGTACGTACTGAGAGCAGAGTCCTACTTGCAAGAAAGCAACATGGTCTGAAAAACTGGACAAACAGTGTGATGACTGAGTCCGGGGCCGGGCTCATCAGTGTTTAGTAAGCTGAGACCCTGACAAGACCTTCTTAGCCTTGGATACCCAGGGACATTTAGAAAGTTCTTAATTTTAAAAGAACCACAGAGGAGGCTGAAAATAGTTGTAAATTGAGCATAACTTAAAAAACAACAACCCAACTTGGAAATTTTCTTTCTGAGCTGTCTTTCCTCTTTGCTTCCCCTCCACCCGCGTTCCCTCCACTCCATCCCGCGCTCCCTCCACTCCATCTGCCTCTCTGGACTATGCAGTAGCCGCACTCGGCTCGCACTCCTAGGCGGCTGAGGCGAGCAGTGATTTGGGGCTGTGTGCACGGGACTGGGGTTGTCTCTGTGGTCCCGCTAGGTATTTTCTCACTAAATTCAGATCGCTTTTTCCAGCAGGGCTTAGTCCTGATAAAAGCCACAGCAGGGATCTCTCAGACTCCCAGGGAGAACGGAAATGGGGCGAGGAGATAATGCTGTGCAGTCACCTGGCTTCTCTAGGCTTCCTGGTGGCTCCCAGGTATACCTCACCCGACCAGCGTCCCCCAGAGACTAGAATGCTTCCGTTTATTCAGCTCCAAGAACCGCAGGCTTTATTTGTTGGGTTGACAGTCTGCTGGGGCCTGTGGAGAGGGTTTGGAGATCCAAGCACAGGTGGGGTGGCTGACCAGCCTCTTTCAATGAGTTAAGAGGATCAGACGCCTGAGATCTGGCAGGAGCGTCCCCGACAGGTGCGGTTCCAAGCCAGCAGGCTGCTTGCTTTGTCTTTGGAGGGCTCCCCTTCAGCCGGCTGAGCTGCAGGTGGGGAGGCAGTGCAAAACAGAGGCTCCCATCCCATGGAGTCCCAGGGCTCCAGGATGCTCCGCGTTGGATCCCCTCTCTTCACCTTTGAAAGAACTCTGGTCTTTGTTGATGAAGGGAACAGCCTATTCTGGTTAAGGTGACTTTTCTGATGCTTCAGGGAGATGGAGAGCTGCTTTTTGTTTCAGTGTTCCTACTCACGCCCCTCATTTCGTAGGACTCAGTTCTACCAGGAGACACCAAAACTCAGTCTCCACTTCCAGCAATCTTCCTAGTTCTTGGAGAAAACCATTCTCTAGTTTGTTGCTGTGGATTTTATCCAGGAAACTGGCACCAACCAAACACAACCCTTGCTTGCTCAGGAAAGATCCAAAGGAGCAGGTAGCAAGTGGTAGGTTGGAGTCCCCGATGCCCGAGGTAGCTTTGGAGTGCAGGGGAGCTCTGATAGCAGGATGTCCTTTCTTCATGACAAAAGCACGTTGAAGTTAAATGTGGCTGCAGTTTAGGCCTTGCTAGAAGGGGATTTTCAGAAACACAGATGAAGGAAAGTGAGAACAGATCAGCAGACTCAATTTAGGTTAAAGAAGAAACTGGCCAGCTATCCATTAATGCCAAGGGCCAATTTATTTTAAAATCCTCATTGAAAGATGGCCACCAAACAACAGAGATGTATCCTAGGCAGGGACTGATAAATCTTTGTAAGTAGCTTTTCCTAACTCCCAAGCCCCCAGTTTTAAACAGTCATTCAAAGTTTGTCTTTCAAAAGACTGGCTTTCATTCATTCTCCCATTCATTCATTCATGTACCCAATGTAGGGCACCTGCCTCAGGAAGTAGGAGGTTTGGGCTACTTCTGTACCACTTCTCTTTTCTTGTTTACATTTTCTCTGACCTTGCCTTCCAGTTTTTTTCTTAAAGGAAAGCATAATTTAAATAACCACTGTCATAGTGATTGCTTTTGATATTTGAAGTTCCTAAAAACGCTCTATGAAATATTTCTATGTGCAGTGGGAAGGCATGGAATTTGGAAAGTTAACATGGCTCTTTACACTTCCGTAGCCATGGGAAAAAAGCAGCAGCTACTTGCAGTTGATTATTTAGCGTACTTTGAAGGTAGTGCTTGATAGATTCCTGAAATTTATGTAAACTAAGGTATTGACCTTGGACCATTACTTAGAATATATGTGGAAACATTTGTTTGTGTTTCACAGGAGAGGCCAGGAGGGCACTGCAGGAAAACCTCAGTATAAAAGGTTCTTTAAGATGCTACAATAAAACTTTTTTTTTGTTCAGATAAAATGTCAATTTTTACTCAACAATAAATATATTTGCCAATTGCGAAGATTTGTTTAATTTTACTATCAAAATCATGCTCTAGTCACAGATACTGAAACATTCCCTTCAGTACATCAATTAGTAAGGCCCTGGTTTACCTCATTCAGTAGGGGCACCATACTAGAATATGCTATCGAGCTTATTGCACATGGGAAGGAAATACTGGGGAAAGATGGAGAAGATGAGGTTATGAGCTCTAACCTGGAAGAGAAAGGAGCAGCTGCTTTCACTTACAACCTGTCAAGTTTAGCTTGGATACAGTGCTATTGATTAGCTTACCTTGGACCATTAAAACTGCGAAATCAGTATCAGTTCAGAGGAGTAAACTTTAGGTGATGACTACACAAAGCATTCACACAAAATATGAAAATTTCATTTATGTTTTGGTTAAGGGAGTCCTCAGTCTTACATTTTGTTTTGAGAATCTGACTCGACTATCTGTTTTGGTGTCACACAGTCAGCAGACATTTCCCTGAGTTGGAGAAATCAGAATTTACTAGGCAGAGAAATTCAAGGAGAAATTTTGTTACTAATTTAATCAGCAGAGACTGTGCTAAATTGGATTATTCAATACTAAGATTTGATAACTTGGCAGAGCATATCTGTTGCCATGGATGGAAGTAGAGAAACTTCAATGTCGCCATATTTTTCTTCGGGAATTTTCAGATATGTTACTGAAAGCTTCTGAACACATGTGACATCTGTGCTGTTCTAGCTTTTATTTTCCAAGTCCCCCCACCATCAACAGAGCCGTTTGATAGTTAGAGATCTAAAGAAGAACAAGAAAGGAATCTATGTGTTTTCCTACTGAAGTAAACTTATTCATAAAGCATAATTTTCCTTTGAAGAAAGTAGATTAAGGACCAATGGTAGAGACACCAAAAAAGTTTTGTTTCCTCCAACCTTGATATCAATCCTGACATTTTACTAAGAAAAGGCTCTCTCTCTCTCTCTCTCTCTCTCTCTCTCTCTCTCTCTCTCTCTCTCTCTCTCTCTCCTGTGAACTTCGAACATCTTGGGAAAGCTGGCACACAATCTTCAGTACCTAGCTATGAATTAATTTTTTTCCTGAGTTCTCTACACCCATCCCCAAACAGGAGAGAGACACAATAATAAGAACAACTCAAAACACATGTACCTACATGGCAGGGAGAGGTGTCCCTATGACAGTGTAACATTGCAGACAGTCACTGGCTGGTCTGTGAGACAATTGCCTTCCAGAGTTTTGCTTAAGGGTACTGTTTTTACATCCACAGGGTGAACAGGAAATTTCCTTCAAGTTTATTATCACAGACTCCTAAAGATGAGGATATAGATAATACTGATGTTTTCAAAGTTAGCATTAGAGAAAGGTTTCTTGGGATGCATTAATTAGTGATATAATATACACAGGTTTAAAGTATTTCCTAGAATTCCTTAATGAGCTATTGAGATTTGCATTATAAAGCAGATAACATAGACAGCCTGTGCTCTCTTGGAAAGAGGAACAGAAAACCTGTTCATTGTGAGTTGTGTAGAATTGTGCCAGCATTTTAAAAGACAAGACAGAGTGAAATCATTATTGACATTAGTTTAGGAATTATGATCTTAAGAATGATTCCAATATTGGATCAAAATTACATTCAGATTTAAAAGATCAATTCCAAAGTTGCCTGTGTGAAAAACAATTCTTTTGTACACATACACTCACACACATACATACACACATATACATATATACATACATACACATATATACACACACACACACATATGCATGCATATACACATCTATAAAGCTTCCAGATACATGGAATCTTCTTAAAATTATACAATCCTTCCATTATCTGGCAATACATGATTTTTGAAATAGAATTTATCAGACAAACCCTGCAATGTAAATAAAATAACACTTTTATAGGCACTGTTTCATCATCTCCCCATACTTAGAATTAATTGAAGTGAAAATGTGTATAATAAGCACTTGTGCAGTGTGTTGAGATACAAGTTCACTGAGACAAAATGAGTCCTTAAAAGAAGGTTCTATGATCGGAAAGCAGTAGTTTGATTAAACAAAGCCGTAGGTGTTTTCTTCATTTGTTAGCTTTTTGTTTTTTAACCAAGTAAATATTTATAAAAACCATCTAATCTCAACATCTCAAAAGTTAGACTGAAAACATGAGAATTTGATCTTTGATACTGCCATATATTTTTCATTACTATATGATCTACTTATACTTATAAAGCTGAGCACATCCATACGGTGAATGGAAATTTCCTTCGAATTCATTGCCAAGGATTCCTAATAATCAGCTTATAGAAAATACTGAATTTTTAGAAAGTCTTTTTTTTCTTGGGAGTGCATCAGTGTGTGAGTTAAAGCACCACTTAACAATCTAGAGCTGTGAGAACACTGGAGAAAACCTACTGAGACCTCATCTCTCAACCCCATTTGTCCCTGTTACGTCATAATCATTCCACAAAGAAGAGCTTCTGTGACGGCCTCTTCACGCTTCTGATCACACGTGTTTATGCAGTGCTTACAGTTTCATCCCCAATCAACTAAGTATTTGAACTTGTTATTGATGCTTTCAGCATTGCTGTTTAATTCTCGTTCAAATATAGCTTTTTATCAGGCATGCTAGTCATAATTTAATAAAAATATTATTATATCTACATCTTTATAATTTTATAAAGTTAAATATCCTACATGCAAAGTATACGTCAAATTTTTAAAAGTTACATACACCATGTATGTATACATATTACACCCTATATAAACTGATGTCTATAACTTTACAAAGCATTCCCTGTGCTTTGCCAGTATCTGGTAAAATGATAACGCTTCTAAATCTTTGGGTGTGTATCACAGTCAGACAACATTTATATTAAATTCTATACAAATTACATTTTAGAAACATTTTAAAGAAAATGATGTACAGGACACTAGTGTCTGTTAACACTCTCTTACATAAACAAAAACAGCTCCTTGTTGAGTGCATTTAAAATTCATGAAAAGAAACACCACTGAATTGGTGCCTGCAGTTTTTCTGAAATGGTTTTCATACTCTGGGCTAAGATTTCAGAACAATAATAACAAAAATAGCTTCTCAGGTGTTCCTTTTTTCTGTGATATTTCTAAGTATTTTTAACAAAGCAAGCTGAGAAAGCAAGCAGTAATATCTGTGACAATGAGAGGTGCTCAGCTTGTGTTGTGGGACCTAAGTCCTCAACAAATTGATTCATCTACATGTACTTAGAGTCCTTGTTAGGAGACTGAGTAATTTTGCACACACGTCAAGTACTGCCGGGGGAGATTGCTAATTCAAAGAAGACTGAAGGAGGTGTCACCTCAGCAGAGATCTACTGAGATCCCTAGTTAATGTGTATGCTTGAAACAGTTGTGACTAAGTGTGGAGATGTGCTTTTTTCTCCTCTGTGTGTTTTTTTTTCTTTTTTCTCTGATCTAATGAACTGTATTATCTTGTTTATATATTTTTTCTTTTTTATAATTTCATATGTCTAACAAGAATGTTGTCCTTGCTCATACTTGCATAAAATCTTTTGTGACTTTATTATTAATAATGGGCAGGTTTTATAACTATTTGCAGAATACACATTAAATTGTATTCACTCCATGAATTACAGTAAACAGTTTCTTGACTCGACACATGGTTCTTGAAATGACTGTACGGGATGAAGGACATTGCTTTGACGTGCGGACATGCTGTGTTATACATCGACAACACTATAAAAATCATCACGTTTATCTAGGAAATGATTTAAAATCTAGCACTTCTCAAAACATAATTCACCAAACAATTCAAAGAAGTAGTAATAACTTATAATGTTTTCAGTATCTTAGGTGTAATTTTTATGGTTTTAAAGGACTGAATGTGGCATATGTGTATTTAAGTTCTTAAATTGTGATGATTGAAAGAAGGGGATTTGTGTTATGTAAGAAAGAATAATTTTCCAGGCTTTTGAATTTTTTATACCAGCTTTGAAGTCAGACTTGTGTTTTAATACTAAAAGTAGATCATCTTTGGTAGAATAGTAACAAATTAAGACTAAATTCAAAACCTTTAGGATTTGAAAAGATTCTAATGTCATACGCTATTTACTAAAAGCCACCGACCACTTGCAAATCCAGAATTGTTGAGGAAGCAGAATCAACTTTCTGAATCTGGAGATAAGTCATCCGGAGTGTCCACTCGGATGGTAACCGTTCTTTAACATAGCGAATGTCACGAAAGGTCATTGTGTGTTCTTTTCTTTAATCACAGTAGTAAAGACTGAGAACAGTTGGTGTAGACATTAAATTCTTCACAGTTCTGTGTAGAAGAGTCTGTGTTTTATTTTGGGATTTTTGTCATCCTAGGTATTTTGGAAATATTTGCTGTGTCTCAGGGGATTGTAGGAATACGAGGAGTTTTCAGCAACAAATTTTTAGCGATGTCAAAAAAAGGAAAACTCCATGCAAGTGTAAGTAGAACCACTTTATATTTGTTAAAGGTGCTCTGGAGATTTTACATTTGTAACAAAGGTGAAGTGATTATTATTTTTTTTTCAAAATTAGTAGATAAGATAGACAATTTGCTTACGGAACTTAATTTTTTTTTGGGTAAAACTATATGTATGTATGAACAATTTTGTATGTGTCTGTAAGTAATCATTTGAACTGACTTGAAAATACATAGAACCTTTAAAACTGTAAAGGATAAATATACTTAGAAATAGCCTTGGCATACTGGTTGCCATTGTTAGTTTCCTAGTAGGGTCTGGGTGAGACTTGTCACGGCAACATGCTATTCTGTTGCATTTTAACTTTCCATGTTTATCTGGTGGTCTGAGTGTTTAATAGATAGAGAGTCCTTATTTGATTTTATAGGTTATTCATGATGTCAAATGTGGTCTAAGTAATATACATTTTCATGTAAGCGAGTAAGAGAGAAAAACCAAGACTGCAAATCCCCCTACCTCCTAGAAAGAAATTGCACTGGATGAGCTAGGGGAATTTCCATCTTGTACTTTGTCACATCAAATATAATTACTTAATACTAATCTCGAATTGAAAATATCCCTTCACACTACTTTTACGTTTTACAGTCAGTTTACAAATTAGTTATTTCTTAGCTCTTAGTACATCCAGATTCTGTTTATTTATGTTAGTGTACAGGCTTCACACTTAAAAGTAATTTAGGTTTTTTTGTGATATCAGATTTCTTCACACTAAATAATTTTAAAAGGCAATTATTTTTTTAAAGGCAGTCCTTTAATTAATAGTAAATGAATAGCTGACTATTCCTTTCACAATTTTTAAAGTAGATAGAATGTCTAAGTTAAGAGTGATATCAATGAACACTTCTTGGCCTTTTGCTTTATAGACCTCTAAGAATCCAATCAGAAAACCACTTATTTCTATATGCAAAACTCTTACAGTTTCCTTTCCTTTGCATCTAAAGTAATCAATAACTTTTGAAGAACACTGTGGCCATTTGGGGATTTAGTGAGATAGTACATAGAAAGTACTGAGGATAGCATCTGGTACCTTATAAATGTTCAGTAAATAGTGTATATTATTATATGCAATAAACTAAATATACTGTAGATGTAGCAAACCGCAATCTAAGATAAATGGAAACCCTTTGTTAAACTCTTTAGTCATTAATTTCAAAAATTATAAAAGCACTTTATTTCATTTCTGGGTTGTTTGCAAGGACTAACACAGTTTTTTTTTGTTTGCTTGTTGTTAAATGATTGCTATGACTGAACAACTAAAAGTAACATTACACGTATTTAAAGGGGAAAATATTCTGTATCACCATGGGTAATAGTCAGACATCTCATTTTGTTAAGAATAATATTTTAACCCTAAAAATTCACATCCCGGTTGGAAAGCAGTGACTTTCCCTTATCCTACTTTAAGGGATAAGGGAAATCTCAGCGTCATAATGTATAAAACAAGTAAAAAAAAAAAATCACCTCTTATGGGTTTGTATGCTGTGGGATGAAAAATCTTAACACTGAAAATATTCTGAGTTGTGCACCAGTGCAATACAAAAACAGATGAAACTTGGGCCGGTGTGAGGACAATTGCTACAGAAAGCAAAGTATTATAAATGGATGCCAATTAGAAGGGTCAAACCGAGAGGTTAGGATACATGATTCCTCTGTCAAATGCAAGTAACTAATTTCTAGAAATTTGACCCAAATGTCTAAGGATGACTGGTGGAAATAATGCAGATAACGCAAAAACAGCATCTGTTATTCTTTCTCATCTTGGCAGGCTGAAGTTATTTCATGGAATAATGACTTTTAGCCAGTACAAAGCAAGTCTTGCTCTTGTCACTCACTGGGGCTCTTTGATACAAAAGTCATTCTGATGACTTTGAGCCAAACCATAGATAAAAAATTAAGCCCTACGATTATGTCCAAACCTACATTCTCTTATCTGAGCTTTTATTAGCACTTTTTCTCTAGATGGAAACCTAATTAAATTATGAAGTGATTTATTTTTAAAGAAGTCGAGTTTAGAAATAGCATTAATCATAGCAATTATCGGCTTTATGCCCAGCTGGTTTCTTTCCTGTTTTCACTGTAGCAGAATACGTTAAAAAACAGTCTTATAACTTCCAGTGTGTTTACTTGACTTGGTTTTGATATTTACAAAATTACATTATCATCCAAAAACCTAACTCACATTTACTAATCCTTAGTTTGTGAGTTACTTTATATTAATAATCTTGCAAAGGCATTAAAGAGTACCTACCTTTTGGCTTCTTCTCCCAAAGTAGAAGTCAACCAGAAGTGTAAAGCATCCAGGTAACTCTGGGGAAAGTAATCCCCCTACACTGAATTGTCCAGTTCAGTTCAGTTCTGCCAACAGAGATTAGTCACCAGGCAAGGGTGATGTACTTTCATAGTTCTGTAAAGACCTTCCACTCATATTGTCTCATCAGACACTGAGTCGAGGAAAAAGTTTGAGTTGTTTAGTTATTTTCCTAAGGTTACACAGTTATGTGATTGAAGAAAACTGTAACATTTTCAAATTCCCTCTTTAAATATCCAAATGCTTTATCGGTTCAAGTTAGTTTAAAAGAAAGCATTGTGTTTGGGAACAAATTACTGTTTTCATGTGCTTATAGGAATTACCAAGTGCCTGATTTAGTAATATTTTCATACCATATGTAAAAAGTGAACATTATGGCACATCACTAAGAGCATTTATAGCACACTATTAGCCAGCAAAGAAGAGGGAAATTCTATATTAGATGTGGAAAGTTGTAAATTAATTTCCGCCTTCTTCCCTTGGATTTAGAACACATTAATTTGGTCCTTGTTTCCCCTCAAACTCTCCAGTCCTTGGTTTTAGTCCACAGAGGAGGGGATGTGTCTGCCACAGAACTTTACAGACATATGTGTTGTTTTCCAATCTGGTGTTGTGTTTCTTAGGGAGCCCTTTTCAAGATGGAACTTTCAAAACAGGAAAGAACTACCTGGTTCCTAAAAATCTTCGTGCACTGCATGCTACTTTCTTTTTGTACCCAAAGATGGCACACTAAAGCGGCAGCCCTGGGCAGTATGAAGGAACCAACACTGGTGCTGACCTGAGGGCCCTGAGTGTTATTTTCACAATAGAAGTTTTACTTGAAACTCAAGCATGTGGACAGGTGGTGTTTCAAGCTCTCACCCCATCCCTTCATCTGCATGCCCCTCTCCTCAAAACCATTCTCAGATTCCAAATACACAGATAGCAAATTCCTACCATATAAGAGTCTCAGCACTCTTTTTTTAAAGAATCTTTTTCATTGAAAATAATTTTTTTCATGCAATGTATTCTGATTATAGTTTTCCCTCCCCCAACTACTCCCAGGTGTTCCCCACCTTCCCACCCACCCAAATTCACACTTTTTGTCTGGGGGAGAGAGAGAGAGAGAGAGAGAGAGAGAGAGAGAGAGAGAGAGAGAGAGAGAGAGAGAGAGAAAGAAAGGGTGTTATGGGTGGAAAGTGTATGGTCTTCTTGTCAAAATGTGCCAGGAGTTGTGGAGAACAGGAGACAATAATTACTTCCCGGAGAGCCAGCAGGATTAGTCAGTCTCCACTGTGGCTCTTATTCTCTGTCTCAAAGTCCTCCAGACGGAGGCACCTTCTGAGAACAGGTGCCCTTTGCTGTCTCTTGTCTGTTCATGCTCTTTCTTCAGGTTTGGGGTCCTTAAAGAAAGTCCCACAGAGAACCTTTTTGGATTTTCCTTACTGAGTTCTGATGTGAGCATGAATCCCTCTGGGTGTGCAGCTAAGCACACAGACCACTCAGCCAGTTCTGCTCCACACTTGTGTCACTTTATTTAGTGGTCCTGTTTTTTTTTTTTTTTTCCTTTTATGGGTGATACAAATAGGAAAACCATTTTCCTGCAGTGACTGCCCGCAGTGGTGGCTGTGTTTTACACGAGATAATATGTACAGAATAGTTGGTGTCGTGCCTGGAAACTATTATGACTCCCTATTTAAACAGATCTTCCAGAATGTGTTTTCTGGCAGCTGGTTGATGATCTTCAATCTTTCCTTCTGATTTCAAGGTCAAGTAGCTGTGACTCTTCAGTCATTTAGAGTAGCCCAAATCCTACTCGCCATTAGCCTTTGTTCCTTGGGGTCACACTTTCTATGCACACAAAAGTCTCTTATCTGTTAGTTTTTTCCTTTGGACAGGGAGTCAAATTTGAAGGCCAGATTTCCAAGCGCACATTGTCACAGTGGCAGGGATTTCTACTGTCACAATTATGCAGTTCTTTTGGAGACCTACAGTTCATTTTAGTATTTTAAACCCTAAAGAATGAAATCTTGGAAAAGTTGGGTATCACATGTGCTTCAACCTCTTCATGAAGCATGCACAGTAGCTTGTTACATATTGGGGAAAAGTCTGTTGGCGTAACTATATAGAGAAAAGCATGTGGTCAGATGGTTATTTTCTTATGTCTCAGGGTTTTAGGGGATCATGTTTGGAAGGAAAGCTAATTGCGGAGTTTACGAAATAGGCTTGGAATGTGTGTTGATCAGCCCTGGGTGAGGACGAGAACATCCTCCTTTCCTGGGTTCAGAGGGTGCCAGCTGGCTGGCCTCAGAGGAGAGGCTGGACTGGACTTCAGGTGCTGGGGGCAGTGAGGAGCAGCCAGCAGCCCCCTAGCTCAGCATGTTTACTAAAAGGGGAAACAGAAAGACTTGAGTAGTTCTTACCATCATCACTTAGAAAAAAAATAAAACCTAGTAAGACCCACTCTTTCCGTCAAGACTGTGGTTTATATCAAAGCATTTGTTTAGAAATGTCCTTTGCACTGTAAGAGTGGCTCATTTATATGGAAAAACGAGAGGTCCAGTAATTTGGGATCGAAAATGAGTTTGGGGTTCTGCCTGTGCAATTAATTCCCTTATCTGACTTTAATTTTGTCTTTTGTAAAGTTGATAAGAAGGACTTTTTTTAAAAAAAG